AACAACAACAAAATAATAAAAGGGAATGAAGGAAACAAGTGGGTTTGCTTCAAACAGGGGAATTTAAAAAGCTTGTCTGAATGAATGTTAATACTGCTGAGAAGGAAAAACCCTGACACCTAGTGCCCATCTGGAAAAACGAAGCTTCCGAGCCATGCTAATTCCTTCTCATGACAGCTTAGGCAGAGGTGACTATTCAAATGCATTAAACGTAGAATATACTTTTCTGGGGGAGTGGGGTGGTACTAAAGAAAAAATTCTTCTGCCATGCTAGGATGGCAGTCTGTCATTACCACTCCTGTTTGGGGTGCCTCATTATGATAGCTACTTCTAAACACAGTGTTTTCTCATCTCCAGTTTTTCATGGTGACAAAAATGACGGGAAGGAATGTAAAAAGCCCATGCTTGATCTCCATCAGCAATAAAACTTCTGTAAGAGTTGCCTCTTTATCACATTTTCATCATTATAGATTACTGATTGAGTTCAAATAACTGTAAAAAAGAAATAAAATGAAACACTAGTGGACTTACTTCACAACAAAGAAGAATGTAACCACATAAGAGCCAGGCTTTTCCTTTGTCCTACCAGGCGAAGTTAAGTTGTTCTCTGTCAAGTGCATTACAGCCTTTTGCTTGATCTTAGCCTGAGCTTTTTAATAACTGGGTTTAGTACAAAAAGCAGTTGTGCTGGATTGCAAAGTGTTACTCAAAATGTGCCCACCTACAATTACAGCTTCCACCAAATGATCAAAATAGGTTAGCAAACAAGCAGAAAAATGAAAACAATTCCTTCAAAAAGGGAAGTAGTAAAGCAGACTGGATGGATAGCTGTGTTTCTTCTGTAGTTCCGAAGCATACATTCATCTAGCTATGTATTTACATACAGTGCTCATCATTGCTGCATCATAGCAGCGAGAAAGGAAATCTGTTAGTCTCTGTTGCAATCACATTTTCTTCAATTTTCATCTTTACTTGAAACTATTAAGAAAATCCCAGGCAACTCATCTTTAGAGCTATTTGCAAGTAATGTAGTTCACGGATTTGGTCCACATCGTTCTTATCCTGACTCTAAATTCATATTAAATGCAAACTATTCAAACCTGACAATGAGAAAAATGTATCCTATACTTCTCACCAGGAATTAGGTAGTATTTCCTTAGTTACATCTTTCTTGATGGGAAAGGGACACTAGGAAAATAGGAAGAAAGTAAGCTAACACAGAATCAGACAAGCTCTTTCTCATGCTTTTAGCACAGGCACAAATGTTCAGAATGCAGGTCACATCTCTGCTGAAATAGCCAATGTCTTCCTCAAATGGCAAACAGGTTACCTAAAACTAAATGGAACTGAATCAGTCCAAGTTCTGGTCCTATCACCATTTTACCTATTTACCATTCTAGGAAAAAAGTGGGGGAAGAAAGGCCGGCCAACAAGGTAACCAATGTTCTGATAAGTGCACATTTTCTCCCTCTGGCTGTAAGGAGAAGTACCTCAATTCATGGGAAAAACTATACAGGAATCTCATGTTTTACCCTCATTCCTAATATCCATGTGCTGGCTTTTAAATCCAGAAGCTGCAATACTTGAAGGTAATTCAGCATCACCTACAATGATGACCTGGTAGTGGCATCACTCTGGAGAACACCACATTATGATGATTTAATGTCTATGTAGCAACAATGCATTTACATTGAGCCTTGGCTCTCAGAACATTAACAGATCCATTTCTTATTCCCTTTTAAATAAAACCACTTCTCAAGGCTCTGTTCTGATGCCCATTCTCTTTGGCAAAGGACAGATTTGCTCCAAATCCCATCAGCATGAGCTCACTTTGTTCTCTTCACACCATTCTTCAGGTAATATGTAGAGTGCTGGGCTCATGACAAACTTGTCGCTTTGGCCAAAGAAAATTAAACTGCAGTAGCAGAAAGCCAACGTGCCCTGATAAAACTGGTCTCAGCTCGAGGAAATATATCCTACTGTCACCTCGTCACCTCTTATGTACAGCTGTCCCTCAGAGTAGAACGATGAAACTCAATCCTTAGACTGGCGAGTCTCTCGATGGACACACTCCATTGTATGTCCAAGCTATTGGTAGCAGAGATTGATTCTAATACCTTAACCTCATTCCTGTCATGCAGTATCCATAATCTAGCTAAGGTCAGTGACCTCACCAGCCATCCTGGGCATCAGTTATTGACTGTTCACAAAAGACTATCAACCTCACTCTTCCTGAACTCTTAGGCTCAGAAACAGCAAGCTAACATGCAGGCTCAATCCTAGTCAATCATTTGAAGAAAAGGAAAAGAGAACAAAGAAAACACATAACTGAGAAAAAGAAAGACAGAATAATGTGAAAAGTGCAACAGCCATTTCCACAAATGCTGTTCTTTCTGGTTTTACAACTATTAGGCAAAAAAACCCCTCGTGGTCACTACTATAGACTGCCACTCATTGCAGTAGCCACTCCTTATTATCACCTATGTGGCATACATATGCACATGTGTATATATATGTATACATATGTGTGTGAGTGTGTGTGTGTGTGTGTGTGTGTGTGTGTGTGTGTGTGTGTGTGTGTGTGTGGTCTTTGGGTACAGAGTTCCGTATAATAAGACTATTTGTATTCATACTGGCAGAGTAAACACTACATGTTCATGCCCAGGCAGCTCTGTGCTTGTAATTTCAGCAAGAACAGAGCTCTGTCCCTTTGGGACTTCACTATTCCCCGAGTCTCCATTCGCTCAAACACAGAATGAGAATAGAGAAAGCAGGAGAAGAAAGATCATGGCAAGAGGTTTCACACAGCAATGAAGCCAGTTTTCATGTGGAAAAACAACAACAAAAACCCCTCATTTTATGTTTTAATTACATTAGTTAAAACCATTTTACTCTCATCCTCATGTTTACAAGGTTGCTTTCTGTTCCTCAACAGCTATTCAATGAATCAAAATTACAGACTAGCACAACAAAGCTTGTCTTTTCTGCTGAGGGGCTTGCAAGCAGAAGCCATATAGTAGGTACAGAGCTCTGCTTCAACTTTGTGTGATGATGCATATGCATTTACATTTGGCAACACCTGCCACCTACACCCCATTGTCTTGGAAGAACTCCTACAACTCTAAGCCTCTCCATCTGGTCCAGTGCTTGTCTCCACCCCAATGCTACATCACCTGCTCTTGCAGCCTATACTGTGGTACTCAACAGTCATATACATTGCACACAGAACAAATATTTTTGAAAAGGATACTGGACCTGGGTGTGGTAGCACATGCCTTTACAACAGAAACAACAGAGTTCAAAGCCAGTGTGTTCTACATAGTGAGTTCTAGGACAGCCAGGGCTACAAAGAGACCCTTTTTCCAAAGAACCAAAAAATAAGATACTCAACACAATGGGAAAAATTCATATAGCATCTATAATAATCACCCAGCTTGCTTATGTTAACACCAAAATAAAGGTTATTATTATCTATTGATTTTTGCTTTTTCAAGACAAGGTTTCTCTGTATAACCCTATGTATCCTGAAACTGGCTCTGTGGACCAGGCTGACTTCAAACTCATAGATCCACCTGCCTCTGTCTCCCAAGTGCTGGGATTAAAAGTGTGAGCCACCACAGCCTGGCTCAGATAAACATTATTTTAAGGAATGAGTTTAGCCAGGGATATATCTGAATCTGCAATAAAAATACTTGTATTTTTAGGTGTGTTAATATTTTTACCATTGTTATAATTATACCTTAGAAGCACAGTCAAAATCGTAAGAATTTTAATGTATGGAAAAGAATATGATGGGACACAGGAGAATTTGTCTTTATGTCATTATTAACATGGTACTACATGAGAAAGGTTATTAATCCTAGAAATGTTTTCTGTTTTGTTTCAAGACAGTGATGCATGCTGCCAGATTAACCTTGAATTTCTAATTTTCCTGTCTCAGCTTTTAGATGCTGGAATGTGACAAAATACATGGATAGAAAATGTGTTTATTTTAAAAATTCTTATTATTTTAATGACTAATAATTTATTATATTTTTATTTGAAACAATTTTAAAATATAAATATATTTTGATCATAGTCTCCTCCCCTAGTCTTTCTAGATCCTTTCCCTGTCTCTCTCCACCCAAGTTAAAGGTTTTAATAACTATCAGAATCAGGCAGGTATGGTGGCACACTTGTCTAATCCCAGCACTCAGAAGGCAGAGGCAGGAGGGTCTTTGTGAGTTTAAAGCCAGCCTGGTCTATGTAGTGAGTTTCAGGCCACCCAGCTTTACAAAGTAAGAGACTTTATCGGAAAACAAACAAACAAATCAATGAATGAAGGACTTTTTGTTTTTTTTTTGTTTTTTTAAAAACTATTGGCTATCAATGAGCCCTTCAGGAAGAACTTCTTTTTTTTTTTGCTTTGTTTTGTTTTGTTTTTTCGAGACAGGGTTTCTCTGTGTAGCTTTGGAGCCTATCCTGGCACGCACTCTGGAGACCAGGCTGGCCTCGAACTCACAGAGATCTGCCTGCCTCTGCCTCCTGAGTGCTGGAATTAAAGGCATGCGCCACCAACACCCGGTTAGGAAGAACTTCTTTATCATACAATATCACCAAATCCAATGAATCAAGTGTAAAAAAGGATACCTAAAAATCTCAAAATTCCAAACTTAATAAAAAAGGATAATAATCTATTCTCATGTATCAATTATGAACTCATCAATCTTGCTCCACTTAAAATCTGACCTTCATCTCTGTTTTGAAGCAAATTCTAGACATTAGACCTTTGATCTATAAAGGTGTTATATTAGTATGTATGCCCATCAGAAAATAATATTCCTTTTCAAAAAGCAAAATTGTAATACAATTATTATACCTAAAAAATTCACAGTTATTTCTTGGTTTGCTGTCCTGACTCTGCCACTTGAGTCTTAACTTCTACTGTGTAATGACAGCTCTCATGGAAGGCTGGTACTAGTGGACACAGAGATGAAAAGGGAGAATTATTATCTACTTGCCTCATTTCCTCCTGGAAGCCTGTTCATATGGACCAGCTGACCTTGATCATCCAACACCAGTTCAGTGTATGTCAGCATGTCGGAAGGCAGAGGGGGTGAGGGAAGGAATGCTTGACTGGACATAGACTCCCAGAGTTTGATGAGTGACTAATGGAAGAAAGAAGTTTGACTTATCAGTGACAACATTTCAACATGGATAAAAATCAGTCAGATTTGGTCACTCTGAATCTACTTTCTTTTCCAAGAGCTCTAGGAAAGTGTGAGCCTTAGACTAAATGCTCCAACCTTCATTCTCAGCAAACATACACTTGTAGCCATTTTTACAGCATTTTCAGTTACGTCAAAAGTCAGGTACTTCCCCAATATAGTCAAACTACTGAATGAGTATGAAACAGCACTGGAGCATTAACACACACAAAAGCACTAATAACCATCCCAGTGAAAGTAAAATAAAAAATTCAAATAAACAGCATCAGTCAGGTGTGGTGGCTCATGTCTTTAATCTCCTCTTTAGCACTGGGAGGTTGAGGCAGGTTCATCTCTATGAGGTCTAGGCCAGCCAAAGCTACTACAGTGAGACCCTGTCTCAAACAAAACAAATAAAACCAAATAAATAACACCATCTTTTCTTAAAAGTGTATGTATCTGTCTGTGGGAGGGCAAGGATCTTAGGGAAACTTGACAGTAGAAGATTTAAAAAAAAAAAAAAAAGTACATAGGACATCTGCTACTACAACCAAATCCAAGAAAGCCAGGATTAGGTTTCTACTATAGATTAAGGGAAGATGCCTTTACTACTTTTCACAGCAATAGCCACGCCTCCTCCCACAGGAATTAGTTAAGATGTGTATAACTATAAGTATATACCAATTAAATTTCAAATTTGAGAATACATACCCATGCATTTGTAAAAACACTGATGATTTCCATTTTCTACTTCTTATGTAAATAAATCATTGTTTATGAAGCTCTGTCCTTGCTTGTCTTAAACAGCTAAAGCACAAATTACACACACTTATGTGTCCTAGCTCTGTCCCTTGTCAATTACAAAACAACTTACATAGCACTGACACTGAGAATCATAACCACACCCAGTTGTCAGGGTAATGAAACAATAAAATGGAGGTAATGACTGAAGGTCGTGTGTTCTGAGATAGGATGGTACAAATAAATGGGTACATAAAGGTAATTTGTTTTTGTGAATACTACAGGAATCACAGACTACTAAACAAGTCCAAAGATAAATATTACATTAAGATTCAAATGTGGTAATATTGATAGTACTGACTAAGAGACTTGAAAAATTCTACATCAAAGATTTTTTTTTTTTGTTTTTTTTGTTTGTTTGTTTGTTTTTCGAGACAGGGTTTCTCTGTATGTATAGGCTTTGGAGCCTATCCTGGCACTCTCGCTGGAGACCAGGCTGGCCTCGAACTCACAGAGATCCACCTGCCTTTGCCTCCCGAGTGCTGGGGTTAAAGGCATGTGCCACCAACGCCCAGCTCAATGATATTTCTTTAAAAATCCCATATTCTATGATGCTTTATTCTTTATGTGTTGTATTCTCTGCTTGTGATATACCTCTCTACTTTTGATAGGAAAAATCTGCAGCATAGAGAGGGTTTGCCGTCATAAAGATCAGGGAGTTTATTTCCATATAGGGGAAGAGCTTCATAATGTCACACTTTTTCATGCTAGGTTTTTAATTCAACTACAGTAGATCTACAAAAGAAGTTATACCTTAAACTAAATATAGTGGTGATACCCATTTGTCTATGCTACCTATAATGACTCTCATCTTGGCTTAGGCTAAGGGACCATCATAGAAAGTAGGAAAATGGAAACTCATTCCATTCCTCCTTTTTAAAATGTCTAATTTGAACACAGACTCAATACATGTCCTCACACAGGTCTTTGTAAATATAACACGTGGTATGGGTTTAATCTCTTCCACTTGAGACTTCTCTTCTCACCACTCCTTATGCAGCACCTGAGTTAGAAGAAACTAAAATCATCAATGAGACAGAAATTAGAAGAGTGTCAAGATACTCCTACCCCTATTTGAGTGCCCTTCTCTAGGGAAAGCTGGACCTGGTGGAAATTCAGGGAAACCTCATTTCTTTAGAACTCCCACCCGTTAGCCACCTTTACCTGTCGAAACATCTCTGGGATATCATATATATACGTTGTTCCTAAGGACTGTGCCTGAAACCTCTTTGACTGAAGAAGGTCTTTGGTCACATATGGAGTATTGATTAACATTCCATGCAGGGGGCCCTGCTTGTCTCCATATGCCTGAAACATGATCTGTGTGGAAAAAACAGAATGCATAGACAGTTAAAAGACAGACAGAAAATGAAATAACTGCCTATAGCATTGTTTTCCATAATGCTATTTACTGAGAAACTGTTGGGGATAGAGGAAGTGTTTAATGGTGGAGACTTGCTTCATGACACTGGATATTTGGTGTTATCCCTTCTCTGCCAGTTAACTGACTCTAAAATAGTGATGTGTAACCAACCAGGCATATATACTAGGCTGTGCTTAGTTTGGGATTAGGTGAGATCAACAAGAAGGTCCAGTGTAAATTTCACATCTCAGAGACAAAGTGATGACATATGCCTTCTAAAGTGACTTGAATCACTGATACTAAAAAATGAAGCACGTCAGCTAACTAGACAGAACAGTTCTAGTATTTACTAGAGGTAATTCTTATTCTTGGGCCAGATCAAGGTTCTAGCACTTCTTAATGTATTAGTCCCTTAGTTAGAAGGTGTTTTGTAGTATTATTAGCCACACAAAAGCTTCAAATATTTTTATTTGAAGTAAAATTAAATTTCATTCACTCACCTAATTAATTCTTGTTAGCTCATAATACAAAGCCTAGGATAAAAATCACTATATTTTATTAAATTACATATTAAACTATATATATTTCTCTATAGTATACTGTCTGTAACTAGTGAATTCCTGCAATTGCTGAATTGTCACATAGTGAAACCACCACACCAGTTTTTAATCATTTTTAACTCAAATATTTCTAGAAGAGTACTTCATACTCCATATATTTAGCTAGTTTTATTTGCTCATGCATATTTATAAGGGGTGCCATTATTTCAATTCAATTAATATTTATTGAGTGCTCAGAGGTTGTATAACACTAAACTAGGCACTTTATGTATGAACACATAAAATATAGATTCCCAACATACTGAATACAAATGGAGATTGGAATGAAAAAGTATATATATATATTCATATATCTGTTTGGACCTAAAATATAAGCACAAGTGTACCATTAATGAGAAGATCCATGGATTTGATATATATGCATAGAATGGAATTAAGTACTGCCCTAAACTTGAAGGTCATCCAGCTAAGTGAATCCTTAGCATCTTAGCTCAGAGGAATAAGAGTGCTCTGGTGACTTGTCAATTAGGTCTTATTCTGGACAAAACATACCCTAGGCTGATTAAAGGCCCTAGAGTGGAACCTCCACCTCACCTCTCTTCTAAAAGACCAGGGGGAAAGTTGCTATGTGGGAGCGGCAGCAACACCATGAGAGTAACAGAACTAGTCATACTTTTAGCAGATTTCAAGTGTTTTGGCAAGGATACAGTATGAGAAAACTGGATTTGGGACAAAGACTGAATCAGAGTGAGAAAAAGAAGCAGGTTTAAGACTGTGAGACAACTCAGTAAAGATACCTGCCACCAAGCCTGACAACCTGAGTTCAATGCCTGGGACTGAAGGACCTGATTCCTGCAAGCTGTCCTCATCTGAGATGAAGTTAGGCTAACCATAGCAAAGCAATATAACCATGCAGTAAGGAAAGGATCTGAAGAAAGCTGCCAGAGTATATACATCGCTGCTGGAATTTAATGGTAACTATTAAGTGGCTAGTCAGTTTCTTACGAAGTTAAAAATACTATTAACCAGCAATTAGACTCCTATATATTTACTCAAGAAAAATAAAAATTAATCTATATAAAGATACGCAAATAATAGCTGGGCATGGTGGCAGATGCCTTTAATCCCAACACTTGGAAGGCAAAGGCAGGAGGATCTCCTTGAATTTAAGGCCAGCCTGGTCTACATAGTGAGTTCCAGGACAGCCTGAGCAGAATAATGAGTCCATGTCTCAAATAAAACAAAACAAAAAAAGATTTACAAATACACATTACAGATACATTTCCAACAATCCAAATTTGGAAATAAAACTCCGATATTGAAAGGATATAAACATTTTGGTAAATCTACAAAATGTAATACTACTCAATGAAAAGGAGTATACTCATAGTCCTTGCAACATAGATGAACTCCCAAAACATTATGTTAAACAAAACAAGTAGAATACAGAATAGTTTGAATTGTCTGATTTCCTTTACAAGCAACTATCGGACAGGCAAAACTAATCTACAGCAACAGAAAGCACATTAGTGATTACCTAAGCCTGTAATTGTGCTCTGCCTTTCACTGAAAAGAATGAGAAACCTTGTGGGGTGACAAGAAGTTCTCTATCATGACTGTGATGACAGTTACATATTATACACAATTGTCAGACTTGACCAAATACAACAAATGAATCCATTTTGGTACATGTAAACTATATAAAAATATAAACTTACTAAGGGTGATTTTAAACTGTTCTCTTTCCTTTTTTTTACTGGAAGTCAATTCATTTAAATTTTGGACTATCCAAACCTCTTCTCCTTACTACTTTGTCCATTACAGCCTATAGGCAAAAACTATACAAGAAACATGAGGCTGGGTGCTAGTGGTGTACACCTTTAATCCCAGCACTGGGGAGGCAGAGACAGGCGAATCTCTGTGAGTTCAAGGCCAGCCTGGTCCACAGAGTGAGTTCCAGGGCAGCCTCCAAAGCTACAGAGAAACCCTGTCTTGAAAAATAAAACAAGGGGCTGGAGAGATGGCTCAGAGGTTAAGAGCACTGGCTCCTTCCTCTCCCAGAGGTCCTGAGTTCAATTCCCAGCAACCATCATCTGTTATGAGATCTGGTGTCCTCTTCTGGTGTGCAGATATATATGGAAGCAGAATGTTGTAAAATAAATAAAATCTTTAAAAAAAAAAAGAAGAAAAAGAAAACAAAAGAAAAAGAAAAAGAAAGCAACATGAAACTCCAGATGGTTAACTTTTCTTCTTATTGGCAATAAACAATGTACTAGGGCAAGAGGTTGGTAATAATGGATCCTAACTGAGGCCCCTGAATGACCAGTTATGTTAGCTCCATTTTCTCCTATGAAGAACACGGTAATTAAAAGTTGGTAGAGGTCGTGTTTTCCAAGTTTAAAATCATGCATAGATTTTATTTATACCTCCCACTGAAGGCAACAGCAGGGCTTCCTTAGAGAACCGTCTCTGATTTACACAGTGGGCATCCTCAGAGCCCTGCACATATTTCACTTTATGATGTCTCATACCATAGAAACATCAATTACTCATCTGTCTTTTCCCATTGATGTACATTTCTTAAGGAGGAATTGCTTTGTATGCATAGTTCCTGACACACTATATGTGGTCAGTACATATTAAATAAGCAAATGAAGAAATGATAAACATGGTTCTGATTACCTCAATTTCCTATGATTCACTAAGGAAAGAGTTCAGTGATAAGCACCAAGTAGGCACTGGTGCATGGGAACTGGCTGGAGGCTGCTCTGTGATCAGTTCCCACCTCTACCACCTCTACCACTGCTTACAACCTAGCTTCCATACTGTAGCAAGGCTCAGCAACCTCCAGGGCTTTTTAAATATGCTGGTCCCCTTCAGGTCGAGGGAAGCTTATTCACTCTTGCAGACGCCTATTAGGTGTTTATTTTGTGCCAGGTGCAATACTAAATCTCTGCTGAAAGCACCTGTGCCTTTCATGTACCTGTGTCACCGCTAACCAGCATCAGGGAAATCTAAGAGTTTTCTAATAAAAAGAAATGGAAAAAAAAAAGAAGAAAGTTATGAAGAAAAAACATTTATCAAAAACATTAAAATCTCAAGTGGCCCTCTTATTTTACAGAAGAATAGGCCTGCCTTGAAGCCATTGTAGAAGTTAATTAAAAGCATCCCTAACCATGGAAAGCTCTGACTGAAAATGTCCTTAAGGTTGTCCTGAAAAACATCACATGCAGCAAAAACTATTGAGCACTCTTTTTCTTGCTCACCCCTGTGCTCTGTGTATGCTGTTCTAACTGCTTGCTTCTTAAAGGGTAGATTTCTTTGATCATCTAACTGAGGAGCAAAGAACAAAATAAAAGATCACTAAGAAAACTGACTAAACTAGGATTTTAAAATATTCATCTCCAAAACACAGACAAAAAATGTCTTTTCCTACTTCCATTAATCTCTTCCCAGGATCAAATGCACAAAACAGTATATAACCCTTGTTTGTGTATTCTGGTCCAAGTCTACCCTTTATCAGGAGTACACCTTTCAAGTATATACTGAAGCCCTAAAATAACATACTACCTCTGAAGATGTGCCCATACTATTGAAAATAGCCCAAATGTTTAGAAACTAAGGTGGTAAGCCAATTAAAATAGAATGCTCTGTCATCATAGAATCAGCATGCTTATTCATTTTTCATTTCTGCGTTCTTAAATTGGTTTCCCTTGGAAAATGAGTTATAGTTTGCCACTTTGCTCATGTATAGGCATACAGCACTCTGAATTCCATGAAGGAAGTGAGCAAGAGTGAATGGAATAAGTAGTGTACAAGTATGAGGAAGACACTGCGTGGCCCAGCTCCTGATGTGATACTATGCTGAAATTCCCCCCTTTTAAAGACAGAGTTGGAGATACATCCCAGCAAGTCCCCTTTCCTTATCTGGCAGCGAAAGGCTGCACTGGGAACAGGAAAACAAATCAGACCAGGAAGTCTAGATTACTAGCACCAGAGCCCCTGGAAACAATAAACATCTGAACTGCACAATTACCTATGGAATTGGTTCAGCTGGCCTGTTATTGCTCATCAATATTTGACAAAAGGTTAACGTTTCTTAATATGCTTGATCAAGAGACACAAAGATGTTTTCAAATGCAAAGGGTAAACCATGGGATTTTTGGGTCATTTCATATGTTGGACCAAATCAAACCTTGGAGGAGTCTACTTGACTACTGTACCTGTGCTGTCCTGGAGTCAGTCACTTCCTTATACAGGCTGATGTCCAAGTAATAGCCAGACTCATTTGTCAGGAAGAGGCGGATGGGAATTGCTTTTCCAGTTGTTGTCAGGCGAATGTTGATTTTCAGTTCTGCCTGGAGGACGCGCAATTTCCACAGACGACTTCCATAGCGCATTACCATGCTTCGCACAGATTCTTCAATCTGACACAGATACAATACCAAGTGTAAAACCAAAATACTTTGTAACTAAAATTTGTTGTAAGTTTGCACATTTTTGCAAAAAGAGCATTGGAAAAGATGATGGTTTATGGAGATATGTACTACGTTTATACCTTACAAAGAGAACTCATATGGTTTATTCTCCCTGTCCCAGTTGGTCTTTACAGTCAATCTGACACAACACAGTCATCTGGAAAGATGGAAACCTCAACTGAAGGATAGCCTTGGTTAGACTGTCTTGATAGATTATAGGAGGGCCCAAACCACTGTAGGCAGCACTATCCCTAGGTGGGTGGGTCGGGCTCTATAATAATAAGAAAGTTAACTGAGTATGAGCTAGTAAGCAGCCTTTATCCATGGTGTCTCCTCTAGTTTCCTACCTTAAGTTCCTGTCCTGACTTTCTTCAGTTATAGACTCTGATCTGGAAGTAGAAGCTGAAATACACCCTTTCCTTCCCTACATTGATTTTGGTTGTATTTTTTTTTTTTTTTAATCACAGCAGGAGAAAGAAACTAGGACACTCCCCAACTTACTCTTGCTTGGAACAAGTTAGAAGCAATTTCATGCTGGTTTGGTATTTGAATGGTTTTCTTTGACTACAACCCCCAAATCTGTACAACTCCTTCCCTTTTCCCAATTATATTCATACTCTATATCAAAGATCTGCAATATCTAAAATTAAAAGCCAGGGGATTTAAGAGAAAGCACCAAATAAGAATAAAATCCCTGGTTAAATAGCTATTAAGTAGCATTTCTATGCATGGTAACTATGTTTCATTGCACTTACAGGACCTTAAATCAACATAGCAATTACCACCATGAGCTTTTTTTCCACAAAATTTTATTAAACTTGATAATGTATGTCTCTTAGTAAATTGCACAAATTAAAGAAAGGCAATTTGTAGGTTGTACCAGAACGTTCCCTCTAAACATTAGTGCTCCAAAGTTTGCTCACTGTCAAGTCCAACTAGGATTTACGGAGATGAGATATTCCCTCGTTTCCTTGAAGCTTTGTACAGAGACAGCTTGGTACTCCTAGTTTTCAGTGGATATCTTAGTTTTACTGGATATCCTTCAAAGTGACTTTGTTGGTTAACAAGATGGCTTAGTGGGTAGAGGCACTTGCCACCAAGCCTAAGAACTTAAAGATCCTTAGACCCACATGGTATAAGGAGAGAACCAAGTCTCACCAAGTAAATAAATGCATAAATGGTTTTGTTACTAACATGTTAAAGTATTAACTGTTCCCAATAGGGCTACAAGTACCCAGAGCATTTTGAAGTGTCTTTGTAAAGTGCTGTCTCTGCTTCTTAGATAGAAAGCTTTATAATTACCTTACCTGCCCCAATTATGGTTTTCCAGGAGCAGGTATCATCCTGCATGAATTTTGTTTTTGTATCATAGAACTTTAACTGAGGATAGGTTTCAAGTAGATAACTTTCCCATTCCCACATTGTGCTTGCTAACCAAGAGATGTTTATCCATTATTTTCTTGAGAGGATAAACGCGTTTGTGTATGCAAGAAACAGTGATCCGCGTTTGTGTATGCAAGAAACAGTGATCCATGACCAGCAAGGCAGTCTGAGTACTAAGAGTAGGAACATAGAGCCCGATGTTTTAAAATAAAATTACTCATAAAGAAAAGGCTGACTAAAAAAGCATAGTGTAAGACTTTTGGCTTTATTGGTGCTGAAGTGAAATCTTGCTGTATCAGATGATGCAAATTGAGACTCAAAGATCTTTCCAAACAGATGCAATTATCCCACCATTAGCTTGGGATTTTAAGAAAAAACAGCAGGAAACTTTCTTAGGTCTTGGGCACTAAGTTCAATGGACAAAATCAGAAATGGTGAAACAGTTAAGATGGCAGAGTGACTGGATAGCATGTACAAAGTCCTGGGTTTGATCCCAACACTGTATGACCCAGCACTGTATAGCCTAACACTGTACAACCCACCACTGTAAAACCCAGCATTTAGAAGGATGAGGGAGGAGGATCAGAAGCTCAAGATCATTCTCAGCTACACAGGAAGTTCGAGGCTAGCTTGAGGAACATGTGACAATGTCTTAAAAAATAAGCAGCAAAAGTTCATGACTACAAATGATGTAGAGAAAGGCAGATATTGATTGATGGTCCTGTCCAAATGCACAGCAACACGGGAGAAAGGCAGAAAGCTCAGGATTAAAGCCAATTGCCCTTATTCCACCTAGGAGAAAAGCTAAGTACAGAATCATCTTTTCCTCCCTTAAATTGTACAGAACACAATTTTGAATAGAGCCTCAAGGGCAAAAACCAGATATATCACATGAAATTCCTTACAGTCAAATTCTCTCACTGTGGAGAAATAGGGTAGACATTTTCAGACACTGTTGCATCTAAGCAAGGCTACTCATAAGTAGCATTTAATGCATAAAGGAAATAATTTAGTCAAAATGTCTAATAATAGCAAAATTAATTACTTTGGATGAGGAATCCAAGGGGACCATATAAATGGGATCACACAGCAAATATAAAACTAGTATCAATGGAAAATTCTTTTCTTTTTTCTTTTTTTTTTGTCTTTTGTTTTGTTTTTCGAGACAGGGTTTCTCTGTGGCTTTGGAGGCTGTCCTGGAACTAGCTCTTATAGACCAGGCTGGTCTCGAACTGGTCTGATCTCACAGAGATCCACCTGCATCTGCCTCCCAAGTGCTGGAACTAAAGGCGTGCGCCACCACCGCCTGGCTGAGAAGTTCTATTACAGCAAGTAAGTAGCATAGCACCTTCAGTTTTAAAGACTTTTTTTTTGTTCTTAAAGATGTATTTATTTATTATGTATACAGTGTTCTGGCATGTAGATGGCATGTAGATGTTCAGTTCCCATGTGGTTGCTGGGAACTGAACACAGGACTTCTGGAAGAGCAGCCAGTGCTCTTAACCTCTGAGCCATCTGTCCAGACTTTGAAGACTATTTTTTTTTGTAATTATTTATTATGTATACAACATTCTGCTTCCATTCTGTACACCAGAAGAGGGCACCAGATCTCATAACGGATGGTTGTGAGCCACCATGTGGTTGCTGGGAATTGAACTCAGGAACTCTGGAAGAGCAGTCAGTGCTCTTAACCTCTGAGCCATCTCTCCAGCTCAGGAAGTAGATGCCCCGAAACCTCATTTTTTTTTTTTTTTTTTTTTTTTTGGTTTTTCGAGACAGGATTTCTCTGTGTAGCTTTGGAGCCTATCCTGGCACTCGCTCTGGAGACCAAGCTGGCCTCGAACTCACAGAGATCCGCCTGCCTCTGCCTCCCAAGTTGTTGGGATTAAAGGCAAGCGCCACCAACGCCCGGCTGAAGACTATTTTTAATGGCTAAATAAAACAATTTTGAGACTGTCCCATGAAATTCAGCCTTACAAGTAGCCTGTGACTTTAAAAAATTAAGAAGTCAACCTACTGACATGAACACCTATTTCCAAATCTGATCGAGCCACATACAAATGAGTCTCTCTGTGAGGACTGACAGAGAAACGGTGAGACAGGTACCTTTGATGGGTCCATGATGACTGTGGGCACAAAGTTGAGGAAGATGTGGTTACAATCAGTGCGGACATTTGTATTATTAAAAGCAACTTCCAATTCATCCATGGCTTCCAGGAGCAGTCGCTCCCCTTCATTTTGTAGATATTCAAAAGAAGCTTCCTACATGGGAAGAAAATCACCACCATTAATATGCTTTAAAAGCAATAAAGAGGGGCTAGGGAAGTGGTTCATTGGGTAAAGTGCTTGCTGGGAAAGCACAAGGACTTAAGTTCAGATTTCCAGTGCTCATGAAAAAGCTGGAGTGGCGCCCTGCCTCTGTAATTCCAGCACCAGGGGTAGGTGGGGAATGGAGACAGGTGAATCAGTGTTCGCTGATCAGCCAGTTTAGCTGAAACTGTAAGCTCTAGGTTCAGTGAGAGATGCTGTCTCAAACAAAAACAAAAAACAAGGTGGAGAGTGATAGAGGTGCACATGTGCGCGCACACACAAATAGTTATAAAAATAACATGGACAGTAACAGAGGAAGATATCATTCTCATGTCAACTTCTGGCCTCCACGTGTGCTTGAATAAAGAAGTGTACATGCAACCCATCCCCAACCCCAAAGTAATAACTTAAGAAGCAATATGACAACTGGATTCCAGGAGTATGGTTCAGTGCTTAGCTGTGGATGTCTGCTTCTGCTTCCATCAGCTACTGGATGAAGGCTCTAGGATGGCATATAAGGTAGTCGTCAATCTCATTATTGGGGAAGGGCATCAAAGGTAGCCTCTCCACTACTGCCTAAGATTCTTAGTTGGGGTCATCCTTGTGAATCTCTGAACATTTCCCTGGAGGAGGGATGAACAAAGGAGCCAAGATTGTGCTGGAGAAACCCACAGAAACAGTTGACCTGACCTAGTGAGAGCACAGAGACCCCAGTCATAAAGCTGGGGAACCTGCATTGGACCAAACCAAGCCCTCTCAATGTGGGTGCCAGCTAGGAGGCCTGGGCAGTCTATGGGACCTCTAACAATGGAGCCAGTGTTTATCCCTATAGCACAAATGGACTTTGGGAGTCCATTCCCTATGGAGGGATACTATTGCAGCCCAGATACACGAAAAAGGGCCTAGGCCCTCCCCAAAATGATGTGACAGACTTTGATGATTCCCCCATGGAAGGCCTCACTATACTTGGGGAGTGGGTGGGGGGGGTGGGGGGGGTTGGTGGTGTGCATGGGAGGATGGGAGGTCGAGGGAATGGGGGATTGATATGTAAAATAAGATCATTTCTAAAATAAAAAAAAGAAGCAATATGACAAAATACTACACATCTGGTTGCACATTGTTTATCTTCTCTTGGTTGTAAGTCGACTATAAGAGGCAAGGGCTATAGAGTCTTTGCCAGCTCTTTCTCCAGCCTCTTAGGATATAATTTCCTTTAAGGGGTACAGATATTAGGCATCCCCAGAGCTGAAATCCCAACATGATTATGTTTCCTATATGCCAAACAGAGCTCTCTAGAGAGAAGACCTGTTTAGAATGAACAGCTAAAAGAAGCTTATGGCAATGGGATGCAATAGTTAACATATGAGAAGCCCACACATTTAGACAGGTTTACAATGTGGTTACTGTAATTTTCTACTTATTCATTACCATTACCCAAGTCTTTGTGGTTTTTGTCTGCTAAGCATAGTTTTCTTTCTTTAAGTAGGTGCTATCATACCTCTATTATCAAGAAAAATCAAATTAAAGAAAAAATGAGCTTTTAATATTTGGAATATTGGAGAAGACAAAGACAAAAGCTTTGATTCAAATAGTAAAACTATGACTTTGAGCCATGACTAATTCTCTGTCCTTTCTCTCATGGATAACTTCCAAAAAAGTACCCACCTTTGTGACCAGATCAGAATGCCTGATGATTGCTCGGACGAAGAACCTGTAGTCAGTCACTTCAGTGCCCACTTCCACCTTAGCTGCTCCAAGGTACAAGTGCATCTTGTGATTAGCACATGGAATGGCAGTGAGGTCAAAATTTCTCATCCGGTTCAGCTCTAACTGGAAAGCCAGAGCAGGCTCCAAGTGACGATAAATTCGGTCCTCCTCAAACTAAGAAAGAAAGGGAGGGATCTCAAAAATAGTTGTAATGTGCTAATGAGCTCCATTCAGAACTATTGCAATAGCTTATATAATAGGTGCCCTAGATGGGCAGTGGTGGCCCACACCTTTAATCCCAGCATTTGGGAAGCAGAGGCAGGCAGACCTCTGAGTTTGAGGCCTGGTCTACAGAGTGAATCCCAGGACAGCCAGGACTGTTACACAGAGAAATCTTTGAAACCAGCATCGTCCCCGCCCCCATAACTGTCCAAACATGTAATTGTTTCTCAAGTTTTCAACATTTTATGCTTCTACAAATGATGACGTTCATCAAACAAACCAACCCAAAAACAAAACAAAACAAAACAAAACAAAAAGCAGACGGATCTCTTTGAGTTTTAGATCAGCTAGGCCTACGTAGGTTTCAGACCAGCTAGGGCTACATAAGTAAGATTATGTCTCCCCAAAAAAATAACTAAATGAAAACAACACAAACAAAAAATTTCAATTCCCTCAGAACTTGTAAAGCATTTAAAGCTGTTGTAATTTTTAAAAAACAAGCAACCATACAGATTGTGTCACATTAATTAGTACCTACTTCACATGACAGTGTTATGGATTTACCCAAGTAGTTTGAAGTACTTAAGGGCAGGACTCCTATCTTAATCACTTAATAACAAACAAACATATATTTAGATGATATCTGGCTTTGGAACATTCTATCCCAATAGTTACATCATCACTTATAAATACACTTTCTACATTGCTGAATATAAATTGTTTTGCTAGAAAGCCAGTCAATTAAATCAACAAAAAAGACACCTAAAACATAAGCTAGTAAGAGGGAGAAATCAACTTGGTATATTTTATATTTTGAAATTAAAAAAACAAATGGACAAAAAGCTGAATATAAATCAACTGTCTTGAAAGTGACAAGAATAATCCTACATTAAAAATAGAATAATCCTACTAAATAAATCATTCTTTAATAATATATCAAAATTGTTCTGAAGGAAAGGGATATTTTTGAAGTTACTGCATTCTTTGGGTAAACACATTTGACCATTTCTTAAAGTAAACTCTTTCTGAAGAAAGTGTACTTTAGAGAAAAGAGAATGGCAACAATAACCTACTCATAGCACAAAAAAAAAAGGGGGGAGAGGGAAGTATGGGAGGAGAGAGAGAGGAAGGGGAAGAGGGAGAAGGCAGGAGGAGAACAGGAGAGAAAAAGAGGCAATGGAGTGAATCAGCCTTACCTTATCCCTTGCTCGGAATGTGAAAAATTTGGGAAATTCTCTCTGCATTAAAGAAGAAGGCAAATTATGTTAGTCCTTCATGGAATGACTTTTGTGGACACAGAATACAATATGGCCTCAGTCAAGTATCTAGAGGGCAGATTCCTAAAAAAAACATGCTCCTTATCTGGGCTTACTCCAGGTCAGAGGGATTCTCTGGATACTCCTCACTTTGACCCCTTCATCTCCCAAAGAAATGTTTTCATTTCATTTCTCAAGTGGAAAAAAAAAAAAAGCTTCCTGTGTGTTACTCTTGGCACAATCTGGCAAATAAAATCAATATACCCTACACTATAACCACTACAACGGGACTTACTAGACTAATTTCCCAAGCTTCTCCTTAAGAAAACTCTTCAAATGTAAACTAGCCAAGTAAATTTTCAGTCTGTGGTGGTTTGTCCCCACCCCCACTCCAACACTCATTCTGAACCCGATCATCTCAAGGATTTAATAATAACATTTCATGAAAAAGGAAGTAGTGGATGCTACTTTGGTCACTATTGCTCTGCCTAGGAAAGAAAGGGGTGGGACCAGTGAACTTGAAATCATTAGGTCTTCCTGCACAGCATTACACAAGAAAGCAACTAATTTACTAGAACCCTATTAATTAACAAAGATGAATTCAATTAGCAGAGTTCATTAGTTTCTGAAATTTAACTTATTAACACCAAATACCCCTGTTTCTCGGATGGGAAGCTCTCCTGGCAGTGCTGCAATGAGTCATTACTATTTCCTCTCTAGGAGGTTCCATTAGGCACCTTCTTCATTATGAGTGCAATATAATCAAGTGATAGTTGGCATAAAGCAGAGAGACCAGGACTAGCTAGCTACACAGTCTTCAGGAGCATGAAGGAAATTCAGACTCAAAATCTAGTTGGAGGGCACTCTCCAGTACCTTTTAAGGAAATGATCACAGCCCCTGCTTTACAAGCCAGCAAGGCTTAGCTCAAGGGGAAAATCAATCCAAGTCTCTGATGACAGAGCCCATGCCTTTCGACTCTCAAGCTCAGGGCATTATCTTTTTATTCTTGTTATAATAAAAATTTCTTATGTAGATGTACTTTGTTGAGTCAAAAAAAAAAAGAGTAGAAATTAAGACAGATTAAGACAAAGTAGGAAACAAGGTAAACTAATACTATAACACTGTGGATTTTTAATTTACAGAAAGCTTCTTTGTTTTCTTTCTTTCCTCCCCCCAACAACCCCCTGAGAAAGGGTCTCATCATGCCATCCTGGCTTGGAACTCGGGTGGGCTTTTGACCTCCACCTGCCTCTGCCTCCCAGTGCTGGGAAAGCAGGACTGCCTACATTTTCCTAGTATTTTAACTGTAAGATTTAATTTAACAGACTACTAGGAGTTCATTTACCAATACTAGGAGAATCAAAAGGTCTTTAAAAGCCCTTCAAAAGTGAAAGTGGGTTTTACATATGACTGACATTTTACTAATAGGATTTTGTTCTCAACAATTCTCTGGCACACCTCCTTCCGGCAGCCCCAATGACAGTGCAGCACAGGGGGTAACTTCAAAATTAACTAGGAAGTGGCAGCTAAACTGTCAGTAGATTCCATACTCTGAACTTTACATCTTCTAGTTTTTGTTTAATTCCAGAGAAACCTAGTTTCCAGATTATTACCTAAAAAGTAAAACATAACAAGAAGAAAGAGAAACAAATCCTTCCATGGGGTTTTCTTGAAAGAAGTCAGTAAAGTCATAAGATAACATTTAAGCTTAAGCACACACAGTTTTCTATCTGCCTGAACTGAGCTGGTATTGCTATGTCATTTCTGTGTATATTTGTCCCATTTTTACTAAAAACAAAACAAAACAATAGTAACCACAAATTTTTAATAGAAGCTTTCTTTTCCACCAAATCAATTAATCAAAATTGCAGACATGAAAATCAAACAGTGTGAATGGAAATATCTTCAATGCACATAATGAAAGGGCTACCTTTTGGCAGAGGGAAAGATATCTGTAAGGTAACAAAACAGAGTTAAACTACCAATTTAAAAAAACACTTTCACTGTGTGTGGTAGTGTACCTTTAATCCCAAAACTAAGGAATCGAAGGCAGGTGGATCTCTGAGTTCCAGAACAGCCAAGGCTACATGGTAAGAACCTATCTCAAACAAAAGAAAACAAACAAAAACCCATACAACAAGCAGCAGCAGCCCCTTCCAAACAAACAACAAATATCCACTTTCATCACAAAATGCTGAGAAGACATCTGAAGTGATAGAAGTAAACCTTCTCCCCAGCTTCTGAGGAGACTTTGATACACTGAAATTCAGAACATTTACAACAGGGGCTGGCATGAAATGTCAGCAATAAGAAAGTAGGAATACTGATACATTCTTGGGAGACCAGAAGAAGTCAACTTTTGGTACTCATAAGGCAAACAAACTACTCCAAAACAACAGGAAAAACAAAAAACAAAACAAACAAACCAACAAAAAATAAAGCCAGGTATGGTGGTTCATGACTTTAATCTCAGTACTTGGAAGGCAGAGGCAGGCAGATCTCTGTGAGTTTGAAGCCAGCCTTGTCTACAGAGTTCAGGTCAGCTAGGACTGTTAAACAGAGAAACCCTGTTTCCAAAAACCAAACCAAACCAAATAAAAAACCATTCTTATGTTATGTTATGTTATGGAAGTTATACAACTTCCTGCATTTCATTCACCTCATCTCCATGCTGCCAATTTTTCCACCAACAGCCTCCTGTTTATTCCATCACTAATGTAATTGCTTTCCTGGCATGCTCTAGTGTTATGGGCAAATATCATAATTGAATGTATACAAAGAAAACCCTCTTAGTGTTCTGATACCAAAAAAACAAAAGAATGCAACATTTCTCAGGAAGAAATTATACCCCTGCTGTGTTCTAATCAGCCAACCATCATCAAGACAATCAAAATAATTTGCCTAAATTAGCCAATCAAGACACCCTGCAAATCAGAGAATGTGAAAACCTGAAAGAGAAAGCATCATAGCTGATTATGATACTAATAATCGTGTTAAAAACCTAATGAGATGAAGAAATTGGGAGCTTGCTGGTGCAATTCTCTTTTACCTCAACATGCTGAGAACTAATTATATAGACTGTAATTAAAGCAAAACCCTAACCAAACCTGGCTAGTTAGTCCACTAGTAACCAACTAACTACCTTGCAAAAAGAAAAGAAGCAAATGAAAACTACTAACTATGAGCTATGATAGGAAACTCCTCACTCAAGCCTAAACAATCCAAAATATTTCACCTTACATGGGAGTCACTCACATGCAAACAATTGTGAAAAGACAACTAGCTCTTGGGAGATTTCTGGCAATTTTTAAAATCCCACAAACTTTTAGACCAAAAAAAGAAAGAAAAATAAGGGAAACATTTAAACAAAATACAAACTATGTGATTTAGAAGCCAGTCACAATACTTGAACCTCAAGTTTTTGTTTTAAAAGACAGGAAGAAATCCTAAAATAGACATTTTAATATCCTTGAAAATATCTTGGCTAAAAAAACCATGAAGAGAAATCAAATTTTAAAACTATAATATATACCAGTTAGTTCTTTCTGATACACCTTTTGGAATTTAAGATCTAAACTATCGGTGTAACTAACCGGAACCTAACGTTAGTTAGAGAAGTTCAAGAAGCCAAGACTGTAGGTTGTTCAGGGTGGCACAGGCCTATATAGTTCCAGCATTTGGGAGATTGAGGCTATAGAGTAAGACTCTCTCCCTCCCCCCTAACAAAATAGAAGAATAAGAGAAAGAAAGAAAACAACAATAAAAAACCCAAGCAAATAAAAACAGATTCAAGAAACTTTTTCTTTTCAGGGTTCTAAAAAAAAAAAAAAAAAAAAAGGAGCAGGCATATTTAAAAGGACAGACTTGTTTTTCCTTCAGTTTCCTACTTAAACATTAATTTCAAGCCATTCTTTGCTTCACACTAAGGAGGCTTGACTTAATTAGATGGCTATGAAAACAGATTCCAAGCCCAGTGTCTTTACTGCCGGCCTAAGAGCTGACTTAGACTATGGGTCTGTGTATAGAGTCAAGCAATCAAGGCAGAAGCAGACATACCAGTGGCCAGCTTTCTGGGGACAATCATGACTGCACGATGAAGTTCTGAGGTGCTTATGGACTTCACTGGTATCAGAATAAACACCTCACAGTACACCTGCACTCTATGAATCCCTCTTTTTGTCTGGCCCTCATTTGTCTCATGATTCTAGGGAAGTCCAAAAGAGTCATGACTTTGAAAGAGCAGTTTGTTTCATTCCACACCAACCAATGTTATTCTTAATAAAACTTGGTAACCTTTCTCCTCTCCTTGCCACACATGGACATGTTCTCTGTTCTATTCCGTAATACAGGGATTTCACAGTGTAGAACAGAGGGAGCTGCATACATCACTGTGGATTACCAAGAAGCCAGCAAGATCAAGGGATTCATCTCTAACACTCCTGGAAAGCTTCCTCTTTTTCACACTACACTAACTACGGGCCAAGCACATGTCAGAAAACATGACAGAGGCTAAGCATTCTTTGTGAATGGCAAGCTATCACCAACAGAAAAACTCAGAGCAGCACTGTAGTCCTGGATTTGTACAATTCCTGCCAAGGTTCCCTAGAGTTGAGTAATAGTTGCCCTTGTCCCCCTGTCCACCCCAAACCCAACAATCATTTCTAAGAAGCCAAAAGTGAAAGTATCTCATTCCTTAAAGCAAATTCAGACCACAACTAAACTTCATATTTTCATGTGGCTCTAAAGCAGCCTTAACTACACTCATGAAAAACAAAGGCATTTATAATCTCACTGATTTCCCATTTGATGCTACTGTAAACCAAAACGGGATTAACAACAGGTAGAAGACCAACCTGCTAGCCTCATTAACTAGTAGATTTGGTCTATACATATCCCTATACAACCTGAATTTAGAAATATGAGAAAAGGAACAAAAAAATTAAAGCAGTTAGATAGACTCTATGACATGACACAGAATCAGAAACAAAGATTTTTTGTTATTGTCTTTGTGGTTTTTATTATTGTTATATTTAGTGTGTGTTTCATATATATAGTAATAAAAATATTAATGAGAACAAAGAATTTTGTTTTTTTTTTTTGAAAATTTTAGGGAACAGTTTTATTTGACCATGGAATCACTATAGGAAACCAGTCACTATACTGGACATTATATGCACCAGCAAAAAGTAAAATAATTTTATAAATTCATGTCAGTCTCTTTAACAATATGCTATTATTCCAATATCAGTGATAAAAAATGAGCTTATCAAATGTTCAGGTGCTTAGCCCAATTCTGATGCACGTACAGGGCCTGGCTTCTGGCATGTGTACCTTAGTTCTGAGAGCACCTACCAGCCACAGTGTTTATTCATGGGCACTCATATTCTATCCCAAGTATCAATTTTATTCTCTAAGCTCCTGATTTTTCTTTCTAAAGCCCCAGGGTTCTCTCTAAGCTCCTCATACTTCTCCACTGACTCCAGTTTCCTGTCTGAAGTTATTGATTGATATATACCTGCACTCTGCTGGATTTCCTGACATCAATAACACAAGGGAGTTGTGTAGTTCACAACATTTCCTAAAGCATTTCAGAAAAATCTTAGCTGTTTAGCTTGCAGGAGAAGCTCTCTCTCCCTTCTCCATAGACTAGATAGATCAGCAAGGTGACTGCATGAGGGGAAAAAACCAAAATCAAATGCATTGAGTTTAGAAAGCCCTCTCTGGAACCCCAAATGTTACCTGCTCATTATTAAAAATGAGCAGTACTTGAATAACAGGTTAATTGTTTTAATTGCTACAATAAATAAATAGCAACAACAAGAACAGTAAAAATTTCTTCAGGAAAACCAAGTCTTCCTAATACCCTTGGAATCTTATTTAGCTATACAGAAACAATTTGTAATGAGACATTTTGACTATAATCAGTCATTTTGAGTGACATCATGAATACAGGCTAGGTTTCTGGTGTTACTGCTATCTCCATACTGGCTCTGATCTCAGTGTAAACTAAAGTTCAGATGCCTACTATTAGCTTAACTTTTTCTTTTTTTCTTCCTTTTTTTTTTTTTTGTTTTTGTTTTTTCTTTTTTTGTTTTTCGAGACAGGATTTCTCTGTGTAGCTTTGGAGCCTTTCCTGGCACTCGCTCTGGAGACCAGGCTGGCCTCAAACTCATAGAGATCTGCCTGCCTCTGCCTCCTGAGTGGTGGGATTAAAGGCGTACGCCACCAACACCTGGCTAGCTTAACTTTCATTCCAATAAAAACCTTAACTTCACCAATTCTAATAATTAACTCAGTTAAATGCAAGAGCAAAGAGAATACGTAACATTTATTTATTTCTGTTCTTGGAATTAACATAAAAATTGCAACTTGAGCGCTACGAAGGTATTTTAAACAATAAATCCCTGACCTTCAGAATTGAGATTTCTTGATATCAGAACTTGAACCCATTTTTAGTAGAAAATAAGACTTCAAGTACAACTAGTACTGTTTTTTGACTGGCCCACTGTGTGCACAGGGGAAATAACTGGTGAGTTCCTACTCCTTCTTCAACAGACGCAATGTACACGCTCATTTTTATCTATGTCTCAGAGCTACATGGAGACTTCCAACACAGTGTTTAACTTACCCTAGACTATTAGATAGAATTACAAATTCATCCCCATACTTTAGAGGGCTCATACTCAAGTCTAGCCCTTCCACACAACTCAGCCATATTCTGTTTAAGTCATCAGTGACACAGATAAAACCTATGATAGCTGATATCTTTACTTACATGAAATCTCTGATCCACCTCACAGTTGACCTGTTTCCTGAAATCCTTTCAAATAAAAAAATATAAGAGAAGAATAAATTAGTGATCAGCAATTAGTATAACTATTGAAAATAAACTGACTAATAGATGACTTTAGAAAATCATTCCCAGAATCCCAAATATTATCAAAAGCCTTTTAAAAATTAAGTTTATAGAGAAATAGGTTTTTTTTTTTTTAAATAGAACCTATAAATGACATATTATGGTAACTCCATTTCTTTAAAAGTGTGGCGGTGGCATAGGCACTTGGAAGGTAAAGGCAGGCTCTGAGTTTGAGGCCAACCTGGTCTACAGAGTAAGTGCCAGGACAGTCAGAGCTGTTACACAGAGAAACCCTGTCTCAAAAAAACCAAACAAAACCTCAAAAATGTAGTGACAACATAATAATAGACAGATAAAATTCAAATGTCAATACCTTTTGTGCAACCAGGAACGTAAGTCGCCGGATCCCATGCTCAACCAGAGTAGCTTTCTATGAACAAACATATAAAAATAAGATAGATGACAACCAAATTTTGCCTTACTTAGTCTTCACAACATTCTGACTGGAATAAGCACCCTTTCTGGATTACAGACCTTAACTCGGAACCTTCAAAATTAGAAATAAATGTGAACATTGCTCTTGGGATTAAGTGTTAAGGAATAGGGGTTCTACTGATCAGGAGGGAAGGGAAAGAGAACTCTTTGGAGAAGCAAGTGTTACATGAAGTCTTAGAGCTAATTCACCTACAGGTAAAACATACTGGGATGCTTAGTGTTAACTGTTTATGTGACAATGGAGAATCACACAGGAAGAATCTCCATGAGGGACTGTCATGATCAGGATGATCTGCAGGCATGTCTGTTTGTTTGGTTTGGGGTTTTTGTTTTTGTTGTTTTGGTTTGGTTTCTCAAGACAGGGTTTCTCTGTGTAACAGCCCTGGAACTCACAGAGACCCACCTGCCTCTGCCTCCTGAGTGCTGGGATTAAAGATATGTGCCACCACTGCCTGTGTGGACATGTCTGTATGGGGTAATTTTTTAAAAAAGTTTATTTATTATTATTTTCTCTGTATGGGTGTTTTGCCTGAGTGTAATGTCTGAACCACATGTATGCAGTGCCCAAGGAGGCCAGACAAGGGCATCAACTCCCATGGAACTGTAGTTAAAAGATGGTTGTGAACTGCCCTAGGAATCAAACCCAAATGCTTGGGAAGAGCAGACAGTCTCTCCAACCCTGCCTGGGGTAATCTTGAGTACATTCACTGGGGTGGGAAGACCTGTCTCTTGTGAGTCAGATTTCTTTAATGATGTGAGTCCTGGTAGCCTGAGTACACTTCAGAGCAGGCCTCATTCCCAGGAGAGTAGTGGGGCAACACAAATTGGACTTGATAAAAAAGACACACATACGCACAAATACACACACACACACACACACACACACACACACACACACCCTGGACTAAATCGAGTTGTTACCTTTAAAAAAAAAAAAAAGATGTGTTAAAAACAATGTTTAAAAGATTTTTAAACTTGGAACTTGGGATTGTTCATAGCTCCACTTGGTATAGTCAAATGATGTTAGAAGTCAACAGAGGACAATAGTTTCAAGACAGCCTCTTTCTTTCTTTCTTTCTTTCTTTCTTTCTTTCTTTCTTTCTTTCTTTCTTTTTTTGGTTTTTCAAGAAAGGGGTTTCTCTGTATTGCTTTGGAGCCTGTCCTGGAACTCGCTCTGTAGACCAGGCTGGTCTCGAACTCAAAGGCGCCTGTGCCTCCCGAGTGCTGGGATTAAAGGCGTGTGCCACCAACCAAGCTCAAGACAGCCTCTTATATGAGTCTTGAACTCCAAAACCTAAGCTTTCCTCAATTCTGTTCTGTCTGTTTACTTCATAAAGCAAACAAATAATAATTTTTAAATGTTTTTAAAGGTTCTTACAAAAGAGCTACATGGTAATAAGCAGGAAAGCAATTCCATCAATTGAATGACTTGGGAGAATTCATGAATAATATAAAAAAAAAAGAAAGAAACTTTTACAGCCCTCAAGACTGTAGTTGGATTATATGCCTAGCTATATAACAGTTTATAAACAAATTCTTTGTTTAATCATTAAAATTTCATTTACTGGGGTGGGAGAGATGGGTCAGTGGTTAAAATCACTGGCTGATCTTCCAGGGGACATAGGTTTGATTCCCAGCACCCAAATAGCAGATCATAACCAACTCTAGTTGTAGGGTATCCAACATTCTCTTCTTGCTTCCATAGGCCCTAGACATGGCAAATAAACATACATGTAGGCAAAATACTCATACACATCAAATAAAATTTAAAATTACTTCTATCTACTTGTGTATTTGTATCTATATGGGTATGGGTTCTAGGGATTGAAAGCTGGTCATCGGGCTTGGGGGTAGGCATCTTTACCCACTGAGCCATCTTGCTGGCTTCCAATTCTTGTTTTTTTTTTTTTTCCTTTTTATTTAAATTAGAAACAAGCTTGCTTCACATGTCAATCCCAGCTCCTTCTCCCTCCCCTCCTCCCCCCGCCAAGCTCCCACCCCATCCCTCCTCTTCTCCCCAGGGAGGGTGAGGCCCTCCATGGGGGATCTCAAGTCTGTCATATCATCCAGGGCAGGGCCTAGGCCCTCCCCCATGTGTCCAGGCTGAGCGAGCATGCCTCCATGTGGAATGGGCTCCCAAAGTCCAATCGTACGCCAGGGATAAATACTGATCTACTACCTGAGAGGCTCCATAGATTGCCGAGGCCACCTCACTGACACCCACATCCCAGGGGGTCTGGATCAGTCCCATGCTGGCCTCTCAGCCATCAGTCTGGGGTGCATGAGGTCCCCCTTGCTCAGGTTAGCTGTTTCTGTGGGTTTCATTAGCCTGGTCTTGACCCTCATCACTCCTCCCTCTCTGCAACTGGGTTCCAGGAGTGGGTATCTGCCTCTGCTTCTATCAGCTGACTTCCAATTCTTAACATTCAAGACAATATGTAGGTTTTTTTTTTTTTTATCTTTTTGTTTTTCAGGACAGTTTCTTTGTATAGCCTTGGCTTTCCTGGACTAGCTTTGTATACCAGGCTGGCCGCAAATTCACAAAAATCCAACAGCCTCTGCCTCCTGAATGCTGGGATTGAAGGCATGAATCATTATGCCTGGCAGGATTTTTTTTTTTTAATTCAAAGATGTTTTTTTGTTTTGTTTTGTTTTGTTTCCTATAAAGAAGCATGTTTCAGGGCTGGAGAGATGGCTCAGTGGTGAGGAGCACTGACTGCTCTTCCAGAGGACCCAGTTCAATTCCCAACACACACATGGCAGCTAACAACTGTCTGTAACACCAAGATCTGACCTCTTATGCAGACATACATGCAGGCAAAACACCAATGTAAATAAGAATAAATAACTTATTTTTTAAAAAGCATATTTCTAGATAATTTCCTTCTACTTCTGGATTTCTGCTATATTACTGAGAAATCACATTGCTATTACTGGTAGTATAAGCAAAAACTAATAGCAAAACTATATTTCTTACAAACAAACTTCCATGATAAATTCCTAGGTCAAATAAAAATAAACTTTAGTCTAACCATATTTAAAAATTATCCACACTGTCATCATACTCTTAAGTATAAATAAACAAATACAGACATTACGATAAAGATAAAATGTGCTAAAAGAAAAGAGATGTGAAAATGCTCTCAGTATGCTGAGCAACAGAAACACTGCAGACACCAACAAAGAATTCCACTACAGCTGAGTCCTTCAAAGACAAGCATCAATAGCTATGTTCTGGCAAGGGAAGAAAATAACTTTAATAATGCCATGATTTAAAATCAAAATTGTTATTGCTTTTAAAATTCCACAAGTGGCTGACAATAACAGCAGAGCAACAGGATTCTGATTACATTGTAATAATGCAGGTCTCACAGCAAGTCCACAGCTATTACCCAGCGATTAGGCGTCATCACCTGGAGAAACTCCATTTACACTGACTGCTTCAATCTCCTCTACAAGTCATTTACAAATATATGATCCTAATTTCTATGAGAGAAAAAAAGACATGCTGGGACTAGAAGATTATTTGGACAATTTGGATCAACCTATTTGATAGTTTAATGTGTGCTTTAAAAAAAAACTTTTTCTAAACTGCTAGAAGTATGATTATGAAGTGGAAAACAAAACGAATTATTATTCCAGTTTTTTTTTTTAAATTGCTTTTCCCTCCTCTTCTCATTTTATTTTAAAAATATGTAGATGAAAATAGCAAATATTCCAAGGTAAGCATCTTAACCGATGCTTTCTCTAGGCTCCTAGGGTTAGCATTCTGCCCTGACCCTTTCTTAATGCCTTAGGCAAAGACACTAGATTTCCCTTTGCCTCAATGTGTGAAAATGAAGGGACCTCTTTAGATCACTGTATAAGGGTATGCAATCCTCAGGTCTTAGGAAAACAAAAAGCCTTAAGTTCTGAAAACACAACCAAATACAGGTCATTTGCACCTAAAATAATCTAGGCAGAAACTTTCATTGGCTTAGTCTTTGAACCAGCTACTGCTGTGTACATCAGGATTCCTCCACTAAGGTAACCTTAGTGAAGGTTGGTTTTAGGTAGTTATCACACACTTCTCTGGAATAACACTCTCCTTGTGTTGGTCACTGCAATCCCAACATCAATTCACCTACTCTGAGAGTATCAGAGTAAATGCTGACTCATGTTAATTTCTACATCATTTTCCCCATAGGTATCTAACATTAGCATTACCTGATATGAATGCCAAGGGCACTAGTTTTTTAGAGTGCTGAATTAAGTTTTAAAATATTTACTGAGTTCTTCATGATAAACATTAAGTGCTATCCCTTCAAATGTAACACATGGGTATGACCATTAAAGCCAGTTTTAACAGCACACTTTGGCATCTATCACATATCAACAGTACAGCTTAATAATAGAGCAGTTGCCTGGTATGCAGGAGGCCAGGGATTTCTATCCCCAGTATCATCACCACTGTTCATTACTATCTTAAACGTGCCTTTTCAGTTGCCCTAACTAGAGTCTAGAGATAAAAATATATCATTTTCCAAATCTCCTAGATCAGGCATGAGAGCCTTTGCTCCATCATCTTTCACTTGGTCATAAAACAGTATTAATTAACCTCTCAGAATGTAAACTTTTCTATGTGTACAACTAGAATATCTCCTGATATGTAAAACTTGTATGACTGTAGAAAAGTGCAAATAAATCAAGATAGAATTTCTTTATAAATAAACATTATTATTGTTGATTTTTAAAAAAGATTTTATTTATTTATTATGTATACAGTCTTCTGCAGAAGGCACCAGATTTCGTTCAAGGTGGTTGTGAGCCACCATGTGGTTGCCGGGAATTGAACTCAGGACCTCTGGAAGAACAGTCAGTGCTCTTAACTGCTGAGCCATCTCTCCAGCCCCCTGTTATTGTTTTAAAAATGTAAGCTGCCACTTATCTCAAATACTTGGGAAGTAAAGGCAGGTATAGCTCTTTGAGTCTTGAGGCTAACCTGGTATACATAGTGAGTTCTAGGTAGTTGGGGCTACATAGTGACATCTTGCCTCAGAACAATAACAACAAAAAACACAAAAACAAAACAAAAATAAAAAATAAAACAAACTATACACATGCAAGAGTGTACACACCATGTATGTATGTATGTATGTATGTATGTATGTATGTATGTATGTATGTCTGCATGCATGCTGATCAATTGGTAATTTAAAAGATAAAGTTAGGTTAGCTACTCAGTCCTATCAAGGAGGTGAAATTAGATACAATTCCCACAGAACTGAGGGAGAGGGAAGGGCAAATGAGAGACAGGAAAACACCTCAGGAGAGAGGTAATGAAAATGATGAGAATCTAAGTGTTGAGTATAGAGTTTGATAGCAGTGTAATGCATACTCAGGTGACAACAACAGACCTGAAAAGGAAGCTGGAAGTATTGCAGATATTTTAAAATGTATGGAGTTGGGCACATATGGAGTTTGTCACCAAAGGAATATATTCAGCAGTGAGTTCAAGACTGAACAAGAAATGTTCAAAACTGAATCTCTAGGAGAGCTTAGGAAACATTATTTTCTTACAAACATTTGAATATCTGGGGTCTTGTTACAAAAAGATATTCATTATAGATAATTAAATTACTTTGGAATTGTCTTCTTGTAGACAAAACTAGCCATAGTCTTGAGAGTTATGATAAAAAGACAATTAATCAGCCGGGCAGTGGTGGTGCAGCACTTGGGAAGCAGAGGCAGATGGATCTCTGTGAGTTTTGAGGCCACAAAGCTACATAGAGAAACCCTGTCTTGAAAAAAAAAAAAAAAAAAAGAAAAGGACAATCAATAAAAAACCTTATAAGTAAGCCAGGTGAGGTGGTGTACACCTTTGATCCCAACCCTCAGGAGGTAGAAGCAAGTGAATCTCTGTGAGTTCAAGGCCAGCCTGATCTACAAAGTAAGTTCCAGGACAGCCAGTACTGTTACACAGAGAAACCCTGTCTGGAAAAATAAAAATAAAAAAGCACAAAACCTTACAAGTAGAAAATGATGAAAGGAAGGCTATGCACCCAGCAGGAAAGAGCCACCACAACTTTTTATCCAGTCTAAGACTCACATTTTGCTGTGTGAACTCTCTGAACATAGCTGCAAGCCTGTCATCCTCAATATCACCATCAGTCTTGATAGCCACATTCAGAATGTGTATTGGTTCATCCCTGGGGGCCTGTAATCCAAGAATACAAACCAAAGATTATGAGGCTGGCTGCTACAGAAGCTGAAACAAGTCACAGTACCTGGTAGAACAAAAACAGAAACCCATAGGATATTCTGATTTGCTACTCAGTAGTAATAAGCATACTCAAACTACTGCCCAGCTGTCACAGTAGAGCTCAATAAAGCACACAATACATCAAAGGCTGAAGTGTGAGGTGGCTTCAAATCTTGAAACAAACTTGAAGGTCACAGTATCTCCAGCAAAATGGGACTAAACAATCTGCATGCGGGAAAGAAAGCTCTGTGACATAGCCCCACTTACTTTACGTTTTTATGTGATCAAACCATAGGAAAATAATGGAAAGAACAGAACATTCATTTACTTAGAAATTAGAAGGAGGGATTTAATAAAAGGACACCTTTAAAAACAAAATGTCAAAGTCCACCATTTCCTGAGGACTATTATAGTACCATATATTAAAACATAAGCTATTATTGTATGGAAACTCCAGAAACTAAAGAAATCTTTAAAGCAACATTAGGAGACCCAGAGGCAGCTCTAATAGATATACATATAATAGAGCACATTATCCACTAAAGACTTTAAAAATTAACATAGTACTTTGTAAATTTAGAATTTATATCCATTTATTATTTTAAAAAGTATTTTTGAAGACATGTACAAAATCAAGTAATATAGCATAGTATAAAAAGTACCATTCCAAAGTCAGAAATATATAATATAGTACAAGTTCCATGTCTGGAGCTGGTGGTGGTGGTGGCAGCCCATGCCTTTAATACCAGCATTGGAGAGGCAGAGCCAGATGGATTTCTGTGAGTTCAAGGCCAGCGTGGTCTGCAGAGTGAGTTCCAGGGCAATCAGGGCTACACAGACAAACTCTTGTCTCGAAAAACCAACAAAACAAATAAGTCCCATGTCTGAGAGAACAAAGTAGTCTTTTATAGGGAGTACCATACCTTGTCCTCATCATAGAGCGATGTATGACCAGACTCTGGGAATGTGGGGCTTTGGGGAGGGGAGTCACAGAAGCAGCCCATTATTTCATCAAAGATCCTAAAAAAAACACCAGAGAAACATCCACAATAAAAACTCAGGTGGCAGGAAACTAACGCTGCCATGGTAGCTCAGTCTAAAAGAATAATCTACCCTGTAGTATGCTCAACAGTCAGCAGAATAGAAACACCAGTAGCTACAGATGACATGCAAAATATCACCAAGTGGCAGAAATTAGGAGGATGGATTGGTTAAACTTTAATAAACCATATATATTTTTTCTTTTAAAAATGATATAAAGCTTTTTTGGTTTTGTTTTGTTTTCATATGTAAGATATGTGCAGTGCTGTCATCATCACTCTTAAAGTAACAGAAGGAGCTCAAGACTGGAGCAGTGACAGGCCAATGTAATTACCCCTCCCCCTAGGGTAATGCATCAGTATACATCAAGAGATAGATGCTGAATGCATTTAATCAAAAGATGTATCGTCTCTAGTGGGGCTCACTCTAGTGTTGTGTTTAATTTCTCCTGACATTTCACTCATCACAGAGCAGACAGCTTCTTCTGTTAGCTCCTGAGGAAAAGATGATTTTGTTTCTTTTTTTTTTTTTTCCCTGACCAGGCTTTATACTGCAAAGAGAGGCTGAACAAGGAGTAGAAATCGGGAGGTATCGATTTCTCTGAGGGCATATACAGCGAAGGCTGTATCTCTTTGGCTGGCTCATGGCTCTTCAGGGGAAGCTTTATTTTTCAGAAAGGAGAGACAACCCCCCCCAAAAAAAAACAACAAAACAAAACAAACTAGGAGTTCATGGCTTGCTTCCCTTATACAGACACAGTCTCTAAAACCTTTACCTGACAAAATCTTCAAAGGTTCGGAAAGAGACCATTCCGCCCATCCGCTGACAAGGTGGAGTGAAGGAGTTGTCCAGCAGAACATCGCTGACACTAGCTACATGAGTCATGCCATAGTGGTTGAGGTTGGAGGCAAAGGACATTCTAAACAGTAATTCAATCGAGCTCATTAGAAAAGGAGCAAGGATTGGGAGAATAATAAAAGGGAAAAGGAGTTTGGAGAAAACTTTCTTGTAGAATCAGGTTGCAGACAAAGCAGATATGGTTTTTGTTGTTTATTTTTGGTTTTGTTTTTTTCCCCACTACAGATAAGGCTGTAGCAAGATTCATATTTCATTTGAATTTTTCAGCACTATATTTGGTCACTCCAAAAGTTCTTCAGATAGAAATCTAAGAACTACCAAGGATTTTATGGTAGTTTTTTAACACAATGGTATGCTATATTGAGTGAATGAACAGTACATAGGGGTTAAAAACCATCCTGCATCTTCTCCATCTCCTTTTCTCCTTTTGAAAAAGAGGAGGCAAGCTAGGTGAGTTGCAATTATTCAATATTTAAGAATTTTTTTCTTTAGGAATAGTAATAGGCAAACATTGCCAGATACAGTTTGTATACATATCAAACAGCAAAGAATGACATGGTTTAGTAAACAATTATAGCAACTTATTATTCATGGAACAGAAGTCCTCAAAAGGAACTTTATTTATGAGGTATTTACCCTTTTCATTGGTAGACTGACAGATATTTATTGACTATAATTCTCCCTTTTTGAAAGAGTTTTAGCCTATATTGCAAAAATTCCTTTTTAAATCTAAAAACTTTTTTACTAGAGCAAAAATATATCCACCAAAAGCCTTATTAACTTCTAGCAAGATACAAAGGTAGAGCATTGGTCTCAAAGTATGTGTAAGCATGACAAGCAGTTGTTTAAATGGAGATGCTTGAAGAGAACTGAATTGATTTGTTCAATCTAAATCCATAATGAATATGAATATTCTTTGATGCATCTCAGCAGAATGTACTTATAAATAAAATCATAAGGTATTAATGAATGACCAATCAGGACAGCTTGTTAGGAAGGACCAAGCTAAAGGATGCCTCCAGCATGACTGGCATATTGACCTGAAGTAAATTCAGAGTGAAATGATGATACCTGCACTTTGGAAAACTATTTAAAAATCTCCCTGAAGAACACCACCTGCAATATTGCAGGAGGAAGAAAAAGCAATGTGAGCTTGAGGCCTGGGCCCCACTGAAAATCATATTTATAAAAGGCAATGGGATGCTTTATAGGATGGGAATGCTGCTCACACAGACTAAAGAAACTGACACTCCTGGTTTTTATTATTTTGGTAAGGGATGACAATAGGAAAGGAACTTCATCTTTCAACAGTATTGGGAAATAGAAGGCAGACTGAAAGAGGAAACCATTGATACCATGAGCAAAACAAATGAAACACACATCAAGCAAGTCTTATACATGGTGCTCACTAGAAATTGGGATTCTGAGCTGTATTAACTCAAAAATGCTATTATCCTGATTTCTAGGATCACCAAGTACACTTATCAATGGAGCAAGTTTGTGAGGCATCTTTTTTATTTGCCTATTATATGACAGGAAAGAGACAAAGGGTTCCAGATAACATTTAAAGGGAACTCCCTCTAAATAAGCTAACAGACTGTGTTTGTGGCAAACATAGGGTTAAATATCTTTTTCACTTGATGGAACCCCATGGGAAATATATACAGGATTCAGTTTCCCTCTACAACTGTGCTTGTGGGCCAGAACAGCTAAGGTTGGCAGAATGGAACCAAGCTTACTCTCTAAGGGAAGACCAAGGGTTTACAAAAGCACACTCTTTCTTTTCCACATTTAAATAGAGATAAGGCTATAATTTGTTTTAGTTACTTAGCATTTTAAATGGAGTTAAAAAATGTAAGATTATAAATATTTTCATATGTAGCATCTACAAATAATTTGCCACCACTTATCACTTTTTTAACATTTTGTGGATTTAGTCCAATCAGAATTGCTATCCTCTCAAACTTGCATGTGACCTTGCTTGGCTGAGGAAGCCAGAGAAATGCAAATGCTCAAATATTTTGGCTTGGAAACTTCTTCATAAGACTCAATATAACAAAACTTAATATATTTTTCCAATGATAATCTTATAGGTATAAAATAAAATGACTTTTAAATCATAATACTTTAACACTTTAGAAAAATAGTAAACAAACTGATGAAACATGAGATCAGCTATTTCTGGATTTTCACTCCTCTAAAAAGAGAAGCAAAATTAGAGAATCTATAAATTGAAAAATAGCTGTGAATAATTTGCCAGGTTAAGAGTAACCTTAGGGGTTTCTCCTCTGAAAGTCCCAGATGTAATGAGAACTCAGCAAAATATTACCAGCAATGCTGAACATCGGCCCACACACTCCCTGTCACATGGAGTTCAATGTGGTCTTTGCCACACTGACACTTTTCAAGTACTTTTGGAACAGCTGAAGACATGTTTTCTGAACAGAAAGGGCAACTCAGTATGTCCAAGGGGAAGCCAAGGATTCCCTAGCAGAAGATAACATATTAGCTTGTTGACTATAGTATCATTTTTCCTTGTTTCACTATTTTAAGTTATGGGAGGGTTGCTTTTAATTGGAAAAGAAACTAAACATACAGTACCTGTTTAGCGTGGGGATGTTCCCTCTGTAATTAAACAACCACAGTTAGTTACTGATAGGTTAGTGAAAGCCATAATAAAAGAATTGTCAGAGTAGATACAGACCAGTTACCAGGAGTTCCAGTTTAGCAGCTCTGGCATCAGCAGATGTAATTAAGTGCTCATTACCCTTCAACCCCCAGGGTGCCTCCAAAGAGGCATCCTCCTGACCTACCTCACCACAGCAGCTGTTGAGGAAAGGGTCCAGATGTATTTACCATGGATATTTTTTTTTAATAACTCTCATTACAAAAAAAAATAATGTGGAATAGTGGTAAAACATAGACTGGTAGAAAGTCAAGCTATATTACATGGCACATTATTTTGACGTGTAACATGAAATATGATCCTTGACAAAATTTCTAGGTTATTCCTTGTTCCTATTATAAAGGAGCAATAAGTTGGTTCCATAGCTCCTCCTGCCTTATTGTTTTTCTGGGATACATAAGGGACCTACAGTTTCCTCTAAGGAAATGAATCTACTGATGCAAACACCTTGAAATTCAGCCACATTCTTCCTCTCTAAAAGGCAGCAGGTATCTTAGGGCACAGGACTTTACAAGTACCAAAAATCCTGAGGAATCTTAAGTTATACTACTAGTGTGATATAACTTGCTACAATTAATACTCTTTAATTAAAGGAGTGTAGGATAATTTTTTTAAATTGTTATTAGCTTGAAAACTGTAGGCCTTTCATAAATAAAACTGCACCTAACTTTGACTTGTTTTAACTTCCTTATAAAGGATGTGCCGAACTAATGAAAGAAAGATTGAGGAAGGTGGTGGTGGTACACACCTTTAATCCCAGCACTAGGGGAGCAGAGGCAGGTGGATCTCTGAATCAAGGCCAGCCTGGTCTACAGAGTGAATTCAAGGACAGCTAGGTATACAGAGAAACTCTGTATTGAAAAAAACAAAAAAACAACCAAACAGACTGAGCTACACAAAGCGGAAATAAGGCAAGACTCTTGAATTCTCATTAGTATTTGAAACTATTTCTCAGAATTTTGATGTCAGATACTTCTAAACAGAAAATAAACCAAACAAAGGCTCTTACTTTTTCAATGTTAAAATGGCAAAGGGATATCACCCACAATTTAGGGGTACTGTAAGGAGGTTAACTGGTTGCTACTTAACCATCTTACATGTTTTAACAGCACTGAATCATTATTGGGGTTTTCTGGCACAGAAATCTTAATGGGCAGAACATGCTGGGTGGTACTGCTGATGTGTGGGAAGGAGGATGGGGAAGGAAAATGATGCACTTTCCATGGCAGTGAAAGGAACAGGATAGATTGAACTGCCCATATAAATAAAAGGTTGTGACATATCACTGCACACAAACTGTATACCTTGTGTGATTTGTGAGCAGCGATGCTCTTTGCATCAAGCCTGTTTCAGGGAGAGCTCATAAGACAACAAGAACTGCTTGGGGTGCAAAACTCTTGACTGTCTGGATTCCTTGAGCTCTCACTTGGGAGAATGGGCTTTATTTATGAGAGATTCTTAATTACCATGCACTTGGCCCTCACAAATACACAAAATATGCAGCAGAGTCTACAGCAGAGCTGGTGTAACTGAACAGAAAACTTATTGTAGATGGTTAAAAGAATACAGAAGTGCTTTAACTCTTGTGATGTAAAAGACACAGTGGTTCTCTTACCAGGAACCCAGGTCAGAGTGAAGAGACCTACAACAATAGCAGTCTCTGGCTCCATTTATCTAGGTTTGCAGAGTTTAAGAACCAGCACAATGTCAACTGTTAACTCACTAAATTAAAAAGAACATCAGCTACAATCAAAAGTTAGTCTTCTCCACCAGCAATTTTCAAGCTCTCATAGGGAGCCCCCTGCTGCTTTGTCATAAGAATTACTTATTGTTATATTATATTTTATATATATATATATTCTTGATGAATATATATATATATTCTTGATGAATATATATATATATATTCTTGATGAATATATATATTCTCATATATATATATATATATATATATATATATATATATATATATATACAAGAATATATATATATATATTCTTGTCATTGGCACTCAATTATTATTTTAAGATTATCTATGTATATATATATGAGAAAAGGGGGAGGAACTCCCAGCATAATCATTTAATTAAAAGAATGGCTCCAAATCAATCATATGAGAAGCAAATTTTGGCTAATTTCTCCTTATTGTAGAATAAGAAATTGGGGGTTCATAAAAGAGATGAATATGGGGGAAGGACAAACTGTCTTTTAACAAGCCAATGCAGCTGGGCATTGGTGCACATGCCTTTAATCCCAGCACTCAGGAGGCAAAGGCAGCAGGATCTCTGTGAGTTCGAGACCAGCCTGGTCTACAAGAGTTAGTTCTAAAGCCACAGAGAAACCCTGTCTTGAAAAACGAAAAAAGAAAAAAAAAGATTTAGAATAAAAAAACAAACAAACAAAAACAGCCAATGCTTAGTCATATCCTTAAGGATTATTTATACAGGAGCTATTAGATCAGTTAACGAATTTGATCAACACTACCTACTACTTAGTATTTTAAGACATTAGAAGTTTATATCCATGGCCTATAGATTGCCTATAGGTCACATATTTCATTTATTAGCTAAAAATAAAATAAGATTTCCCATAATCAACTGCATATGCATCACCTCTGATAAGGCAATCAACTATATTACAGTTACATAAGTGGGTTATTAACTTCTAAAATCTGCTGTTTATACTATTCAAAGCATTTATTATGTTAAATTTTCAGTACTGGACTCTCCCTTTAGTAATTTAAATTTGTTCCATTTTACAGAATGACAACTGTACAACAAGGTGGATCTTTCCCAAAGATACTGTTCTATATGGTGCCACAAATCAGAATCTACATCTTATATATTCTCATCTCTGTACTTGAAGCTAGCACTCCACATCAATATAGACTATAAAGGACAAGACAAGTCTTATGACTCCTTTACTTCCTGGCATTAACTTCCCTCCCAATTTAATGACCCACCAGCCCAGAAGGCTAGGGAGCATGTATGAATGCAAAGTCAGAGTTGTCCTGTACTAGCTGAGTCCTCTTTAACAAACACTGACGGTTTTAAAGTTCTTTGAGCCATATACAACCCCTTACAGCTGAATTTCATTTTGCTTGATTTTACATGGACCTACATAGATCTTTTATCATATAAAAATGTTCCAGGCTATTTTGCCTTCTAATTTAAGAAAAAGAACCCTATATGAAAATGATGGTGATGCATGCAAACCAGCAGTGGTTACATCAAGCTGTGATTGAGAGCCAGTGCAGGGCAAATCTTTTGAAACCAGGCAGCAAAGCAGAAACAGAAGAGGTCGGCTGAGTAACCTACTAGCAGCCAGTAACAACAGTACCACAGGAGAAAGAGCAATTTGACTGGCTGTGACCAGTGGTGGTCTCCTCGTGTGACCATATTTCAGCAGAAGAATCCAAATCAAGAGCTGTAAAACATGTCTGAACCATAAATTTCCCTTGGTGTCCCTCCTCAGTCTCCTCACAGTTCCAATGCCCTGATTCCATTGCAAAGCTTGAGTTTACAATAAAATGATCATTGCCTCATTCATTTGCAGCCTCTTCAAACCCCCTTCTTTGCTCTGTTGGAAGATTGTGCTCTTCCTGAAACATGAATGCCAACAGGGTTACAGTACATTACTGCTGCCTGCTGTATAATTAGTTACAAACCCACAGCATAAAACTACAGGGATTTACTTACAGGTATCTTGGATTCTGCTTTTCCTTCCCCCTAGAATCAGCTAGTCTTCCCTGACAAGAAGGAACCTTGGGCTACCCTAATGATATATTGAGAGTTTTAAACTTGACTCTCCAATCTTACAAGTCCTGAGTGCCAAAATAATACAGCAGAGGCTAGAAGCTTAGTCATGGACACAGGAAAGCACTTTGGTAAGCACTTAAACCTGCTGAGAATCTTCTCTTCTGCCAGATGCTTGCATCTTATCAGCAGACTGCCCTGAATGAAGAAAGCAAGCACTGTAGGATTATATTTATTTATAGCTCATTCTAGCCTGCTAACTACAATCAAGTGCTCCCACTGCTAAAAATGCTACAAGTTGGATGACTTTTGAGTGCCTCAGTACTATCCAAAAGAGGGTTCTAATCTCTGGATGTCAAAGATTATCAACATTCTCAAGAATGAAGGTAGGCTGCTGATTAGTCACATAGAAGCCTCTCGTTTCTAACTTTCTTCACAAATAAAAAGAAAGTCTAGAGACCACTGACCAACAACTGAACACCTAAGGTGCCAAACCACTAACCCAGTTAGGAACAAAGCGTATTATCAGGAAAGAATGCAGCTGACTGCTTCTGAATGTAAGGCATGAGAAAAGCAAAGTACTTGAGCTAAAGTGCTCTAACACAGAAGGGCAGATTTACCGGAACAAACATCAAAGAAGGTGAAATGCAACTCAACTTAACTAAAACATGGATTTCTAAGAAATAGGTGGAAACACCAATAGGTCCTTCCCCCATTATAAAGCATTATGTGAATTGTGAAATAAGGTTGAAAAACTGCCTAAGTTAACTACTACGTGTTACATACAAAATTTGAGTTTTAAGTTTTGTATATCCAGACTGTCAATAATATAGAGCCATATGCAGTCACAAAATTTACAGCATAATGTGCTTTACATATATTTATATAAAGTAGCTATTATTTTAGAATTTTAACTACACAGACTAATGGAAGAATTTGTTTCCACATTATTCTGAGACATTTAATATGTCCGAGGCCAAGTGAGACATTTAATATGTCCGAGGCCAAGTGAAATCCTAATATCAAATCATCTAACAAACTGTCAAAAATAAAGGAATTAGAATAATGGTTTCAGTATAACAAGGTTTTGGCATTTTTAGTACCAGTGAATGATACTATGGTTTCAGAAGTGGAAAGGGGTGGGGAAGGAAATGGGGTGGGAGTGGGGGTGGGGGGAAAAACAG